TGACTTCAATGTGCCAACATTTCTAATGGTTCTGGACTGCCTGGTTCTATTTTATTTTATTTTTTTAAAGCATTGTTTAATGAGTTATAGTCATTTTACAATGTTGGGTCAAATTACAATGTAGAGCACAATTTTTCAGTTATACATGAACATACATATATTCATTGTCACATTTTTTTTTCGCTGAGAGCTACCAGAAGATCTTGTATATATTTCCCTGTGCTATGCAGTATAATCTTGTTTATCTTTCTACATGCGTGGTTCTATTTTAAATGGAAATATTTAATTTCTTATGACTTATGCAGTCTTCTTCACTTTAGAGGTACTTGGATGGTGCTCCATGACTTCAAATGTATTTTTAAATATTTGCTGGCCATCTTTTAAAATGTTTTTGTTTACTTTATCATTTAAACTTAAGAAGCACACATAGGTGTTGGGAGTTTAGGGGAGATGAACCCAAGAGTCAGTCTCCAGGCTAGGCTGAGTTCAGATGGTCATGCTACAAGAAGTTGAGATAAGTGGTGAGCTGTGCCGTCCCAGCCACATTCTTCTGAGAATGCTGCTCTGGTGATTGGTTCTCTATATTGGAATTATGGCGGGTGACCACTTGTACCTGAATTTAGTAGAGGCAGAAGCAATCATTGCTAGGTGGGTACTGGCGTTTTGGCAGTCTCCAAGTGAGCTGGGAAACAGAACATACCCCAGGCCTCTCCCAAACACAGTCCTGCTGCGTCTTAGTTGGCTTTGCTTGTTGCCTTGCTATAAGGAGCATTCGTTCTGCTACTGCTTTTCTTTTTCAACTTATTTTTTTTCCTTGGACCTAGATTTAAGTTTCTGAAGAAGTTCTGATAAGCACCAGATCATATTGATAGCTGTTTCAGGTCTTGTGAATTAGGATGGGTAAGCACCAAGCACCAACAGAAGACTTTCTGAGAGTCCAAGTGGTTGGGAGTGTGTTATTTTGCCAGGATAGAGAATTGTTGAAATATTGTGTGATTGAATATATAAAAGGAAAAGGTAAATTAATGAGAGGAGAAGAGAGAAGGAAGGTGAGGGAGAAATTGTTAGATTCTGTCTCCCCAGGTGTCCCTCCCTCATCCCTTGAAAGTCTGTATTTCCTAAGACTATCAGGTTTGTGTATCTGAGTTACTTTCCTTTGCAGGTTACCACTGTGAGCCCTATAATAACCCTGCAGACTTCTTCCTGGATGTCATTAATGGAGACTCCTCTGCTGTGGTGCTAAACAGAGAGGACAGAGATGATGAAGGTACGCAAATCTGTTAAGAGTCGCAGATTATTGCCTAATTGAGTTGGCTGAAGTTTAGCAATGTGGTAGCTCATTAAAACGTGGCTGTGTGAATTTCTATTAATGCCATCCTCTGATACAAGTTGTCCTAGCTTGTTTGGCTGCTGTAACAAAAATACTGTAGACTGGGTGGCTTAAACAACAAACCTTTATTTCTCATAGTTTTGGAGGCTGGAAGTCCAAGATCAAGATGCCAGCGGATTTGGTCTCTGTTGAGGCCCTGCTTCCTGGTTCATAGATGGGCGACTGTCTCATTTCCCATTGCCTCCTTACATGGTGGGAGTTGTAGGGGAGCTCTCTGGGGTCTCTTTGATAAGAGTGCTAATCCCACTCATGAAGGCTCCACCCTCATGACCTAATCATCTCTCAAAGGCCTTGCCTTCAGATACCATCACATTGGGAATTGGGTTTCAGCATATGAATTTTGGAGGCACACAGACATTCAATCTAATAGCATCAGTTAACACAGATTTTGTTATCTCTGAGTGCTGTGTTTTTGACTTAATTTATAAATGAGCATTTGTATGGTAGCGTCAGCTCTAAGGGGAGGTCCCATTAAAAAAAAAAAGCCCGTTGTTTACACTTGGTATCCATGGGGAATTGATTCCAGGACCCCCCTGCAGATACCACAGTCCGAGGGTGCTCGAGTCCCTTATAGGGGGCCCTCCCTATCCCTGGGTTCCACATCTGTAGATACAGAGGGCCAACTGTATACTGTTTTGAAATAAGAAACTTGGCAATTTATGCATTTGCACATTGGAAAAAAGCAAGAACCAGGTTTTTTTTTAAATTAGAAATTATAACTCTGTGTGGTGAGAAGTCTATTTTAAAAGAATTAGGATCCGAACATTATAGTTAAGAAAAGGTCAGTAGTATCCATAAGTTTATAGAAGTAGGCCAGTTTACTGTATTTTTCTAATTTGTAAAGCAATGACAGATCTCATAATTTTTTATACTCAAGCTTTAGAATTAAGGTGCTAGGGAAGAATCTAAGAAAGGGGTTTCAGAAAAGTGGGCAAAATCAGTTGTCATTTTGTTAATGTTTCCCTTCTTTATCCACTTTTCTTCCAAAGCCGAGGAAACTGAAGCGCCTGCCAAGAAAGATACCCCACTCATAGATAAATTAGCTGAGTTTTATGTCAACTCCTCCTTCTTCAGAGAAACCAAAGTTGAGTTAGATCAGTTCTCAGTAGGTCCGAAAAAGAAGAAGAGTCTTGCCTACAAGGAGATCACCTATGCCACCTCCTTTTGTCATCAGCTCAAGTGGATTTCCAGGCGTTCTTTCAAAAACTTACTGGGTAATCCTCAGGCTTCTATAGCTCAGGTAACCTGGCAGAGTCTTCTGATTGTGCTGTGAAATACGTGGGGACAGGGGGTTCTGATAGAATCTGTTTTAGGGTTATGCTTATCTTCAACCCACCCTGTCATTTATCGATCCCCATTCCATCTGGGATATAGAAACAAGTAAACACAATTGAGTTTCTGCTTATAGAAGACTTTTTTTTTCAGTGGGTTTTTTTTTTTTAGACTGCCTAATTCAGGATTTTTGTTGATTTAGACAAGCTGTCATGGATAATCTTTGCAGAAAAAAAATTTTTTTTTCAAAAATTGTGAAGTGAAGGAAATGTTTGGCCACATTTGGGGTTTTCTGGTGGCTGTGTACATTCACTTCCTGGTGCATCCAGCAAGTTCTCACTGATCACGTGCTGCAGTTTGGAGCTTGTGGACAGCAGTGAACC